TGATTCTGTGAATATTTATAGGGAAGCTCACAGATATATAGGTTCAACTCAAGCACCAGAAAAACACAAGCGGAATCATTAGTAGTCTCTTAATTCTCTCTTTCATTCTTTTCATTTTGATTTTCATTTGTTTTTCACTGCATGAAATCACTTGAAGGAAATAATAGCTCTAGTTACTGCAGCATTTGGGCTGATTATCTGCCTCAGGCACCTTATAGCTGTAGATACAGTAATGGACTGCTACTGATAAAGCTGAGGAATCTCATTTCCTGCTGTTGTCTCATTTTTTAACTTATTGAAAGAAGAATTAAGTCTTAAAACAAACTCCACTGTCATTTAATCTAACATGGCAATTTCAGCTCATCTCCCTAATGTTTTGCTTCTGCTGACTGCTTCAACTTGGGTACTAACACAGGTGAACTTCTGTTCCTAGAAGCTGTGGATGAGCTGTGGATTGGTCTGAATGACCTCAACACACAAATGTACTTTGAGTGGAGTGATGGGACCCCTGTGACGTACACCAATTGGTTGCCTGGAGAACCAACCCAAGGAATCAACAGGCAAGAGGATTGTGTTGTCATGGCAGGAAAGGTAAAATCATCCCATGTTTGTGTAGCAATATGCTATTTGATTTTTGTTTCTATTTCTAGTTGTTTGCTGTTCTTTTGTGTGGTTTTTTTAAAATGCAATTTAGATACAAATTAGAGATTGTTATCTTTATTCACTGAAAGGTGGGTGTTCTAAATTAAATTTAAAATTAAATCAGAGGTAACTGAGTAAATGTTCATATCTGATTGTGAGTGTACACTATATCCCAAGCAAACATCAACAGTTTGCCCATGACAATTAGCTTCACATAATTTCACAATTAAGCACAAATATTTGGAACTCAAAAAAATACAGATCTTCCTTCTCTCATTGAAAAACATGTTTTTTAAAAAAAAATAAATGGATAGTGTTTCTAAAGGAAATGAGTTCTGCCTTACTGGTTTACACCTCTTTCTAAACTGCATTCAGGATGGATACTGGGCAGACAGTGCCTGTGATAGAAAGTTAGGTTACATCTGTAAAAGAGACCCACTACAAGGAGTTGCTGGGACAACAAAGACTGATCCTGCCTGCCTGAAGGTAAGAAAGCATAACCAAATATCTGATTAGCAAAAATCAATTTTTTTCACAAGTTCCGCTTGAAACTGAAACTAGCCTTTCCACCACCCCAACAAGTGCAAGTGTACATCAAATACATGGTGAAAATTTTCATTACATTCCCTTATTAAAAATAAAATTATTCTGAATTATTTTTAGTCAGTATGAGTCAGGCTCATTATCTCTTAGAGCTGTCTGTGCCACTACTGCAGTTTTCTGAACATTCGTTATATTCTTCTACAACCATCTGTGGTTATCTAAAACACAGAAGAGACTCGAAATCATTTCTGGATTGTGGGATGACAAAAAGCACTACTGAAGCCAAATCCAAAGAATCATATAACTTTCATGAGTGAATTTGTTTTGAAAAAGTTATTGTTTCCTACTGCTTTTTTTTCTTCTCTTTTTCCATCTTTTTACTTTCCTATTTACTACTGTTCTATATTTAGTAACACTTCCCACAACCCCATATGGGGAACAGGGCTGGGACTCATTGTGCTAGATGGAGCTAGGCAGCAGCTAAATACTGAACAATTTTATTTACCTTTCCTGGGTGTAGCAAGCAAATCTTGAGCTGGCAGAGAAGGGAAAACTGAGTTGGAATTCAGCTCTAATTTTGAGGATTTTTTATTTCAGTAATTTTTATGCTACCTCTGCAGTCAGACTTTTTAGGTGAGCTGGTGAGTTAAATCATTTAACTAGTTTAGTTACAGTTCTTTTAGCCTAGAAACATCAGGAAAATTGAGTCAGCATCTCACTATAACACAGACTACTTTCTGGTTCTAAGCAAGAAAATATTTCACTCATCTGTGTCTGATTACCTTCTCTGTTCTGTGTGCCTCTTACTTTTATCAGATCCTAATTGTCAAAAACGAGGGACTCGTATGCATTAAATATCTTCTTTCTAGATATTTCCTAAGGTTAATTTCTATTTGTCCACTGGAGTTTAAATGAATACATTCATTCCTTTGGTTGTATTAAAAATATGTTGATTTAAAAGTATACACTGATGTTCAAACACTAAAACATATGGGGTTTTTACTACAAGAATATTTTACACTTTCTTGACAGGGCTGGAAAAGACATGGATTTTACTGCTACCTGGTTGGACATACCTCTGTAACATTTTCAGAAGCAAAGAAAACCTGTGAAAGGAGCCGTGGTTATTTGACAAGTGTAGGAGACAGGTATGAGAAGAGTTTTAAACTTCTATATCTGATGGAATAATATTGAGATTTTATAATATAGTTGAGAATCTTCTGGAAAAAAAAAGTGAAACTGGAAAAACAAAATATCATTTTTCTCAAGGAAAACAAATCAATAAATACAGTATGGCTTTCCTAACTGAATATATTTTACACATTCATGTTTTCTAGTACTTTACTCTGAAAGAACAGCCCATAGCTGCTTCTGATCTATAAGGAGCAGTTTTTCAGTATAGCACAGCTTCACCTGCTATTAAAGCTAGTCCATCTGAAATCTAGTTGAACATATTTCGATATGAAAGAAAACTTACTGGAGACTCCAGTCATTCTAGTCTTGCATAGTTTAGGATGCTAGAAATAGGAGACTAAGGGAAAGGGAGCCTTAACCCCATCTGACTCCTGTCATTTCAGATATGAACAAGCCTATCTGACCAGCCTTGTTGGTCTAAGTTCTGAGAAGTATTTTTGGATTGGTCTCTCGGACACAGAAGAACAAGGGATGTTCAAGTGGGTGACTGGTGAAGGTGTTCTGTACACAAACTGGAACGCAGCAATGCCTGGTACCCTGCCATTGGAGTGAATTTATGCTGTGTTGTAATTTTACGTTGTTTCAAACTTTGCAAAAACATGTCTATGAGGAAGGTGGTGAAGGGTCTCGAGCACAAGTCTAGGAGCAGTTGAGGGAACTGGGATTGTTCAGCCTAGAGAAAAGGAGGCTGAGGGGAGACCTTATCTCTCTCTACAACTACCAGAAAGGAGGTTGCAGCGAGGTCGAGGTACGTCTCTTCTCCCATGTACCAACAAATAAGACAAGGGCACATAGACTCAAGTTGCACCAGGGCAGATTTATGTTGGATATTATGAAAAAATCAAGGAAAGGCTTGCTAAGCATTAGAACAGGCTGCCAAGGAAATTGATTCACCATCCTTGGAGATACTTAAAAGATCTGTAGATGTGGCACTTAGGGACATAGTTTAGTGGTGGACCTGGCAATGCCAGGTTAATGGTTGGACTTGATGATCTAAAGATCTTTTCCAACCTATGATTTTCTATAAAGCCATAAAAATATTTGTTTTCTGGCTCCTCATTGCTTACAAGAGCAAAATCAAACTGAATCAAATAAAATCAAGTGGAAAGGATGCAGTCTCTTCCAGGCTGGGCAATGGGCTGCCAAATCTTTGCAGTGAGTGGCACAGGAAAGAGGTAGGCACGGGTTTCTTCATGCACTTGTAAAGCTTTTCAGAGGGGAGGGATGATGGATAAGCTTTGCTTGCTGGTCTTTTTACAAAGCCCCTCTGTTCAGCAGTCACTACATTTAATATTTCAAACAGTGTTCTGTAAATTAATCACAGGGGCTCTAAAAATGTCAAGGCAAGCACTTCAAAACACATTTCAATTTTATTTTATATCTCACAAAGGGAATAAAGCTGGTTGTGTTGCCCTAAGGACTGGAAATGCAGCTGGACTATGGAATGTTCAGAACTGTGAAGTAAAGGCAAAATTTCTCTGCAAAAAACTGGCTGAAAAAATCACTCTTCCTTCTGTTCCTGAAACTGTTTCTGATTCCATATGTCCCATGGGTTGGGATACAAGCAATAGCACTAATTCATGCTTCAGAGTAAGTATTATTTTTCCAGTAAGCCTACTCATGAGACAGAAGAGCACCAGATAGGGGGTCTAAACTTCAGAGAATGGCATGTTAATGCACAAATGTTGTAAGCAGTTATCACTGCAGTTATCATTCTAGCAGTAACACATGAGGTTGTCCAATTAGCATACCCTTCAATCCATATTATATATGATAATTGTATGGAATGTTTTCCTATTTTGCTTATACAAATCAGTCAGCAGATTTATTTTTAACACTCTCTAAACACAGTATTCTACCTGTATCTATAGGGTTTTGTGAGAGAAGAAAACCAAAAGAAAACATGGTTTGAAGCCCGAGATTTCTGTAGAGCAATAGGAGGAGATTTGGCTGCCATTAGAAGTGAAGAAGAGCAAACAGTGATAGAAAATTCAATAAAGTAAGTTAACAAAATATCTAATGATTGATATTTTGATGTAGCAATATGATGTATATTATAGGAATTATATAGGAGTAAATGATAATATCCTTAAGTTGCTCCCAAGATAATTAGTGGAAAATCTGTATCTTTTTAGCATCATAGTCATAAGAAAAACACCAGAGAAAATGGGTATCATTTTCAAAGACATTTCTGGAGTTCCTAAAATTTGTGATCATCTGCAAATCTCTTCAATTAAAGAAACCCAAACAACCAAATTGGCTGAATGCCTCTCCTTCAGACCCATTTCTAAGTTTGTTCACTGAACCATTTTGAAACTAAATTGTAGCTTCCAGCAAACCTGAACATTTTATTCCTCAAAGATCACTATAATCAAATCATCAGTGCTGTGCTTTCAACACAATCATTTGCAAAGTAGAAAATTTTAAGGTGTGAACTTTGCTTACTTACTAACATGAATTTGCTAACCAACAGCATTTAGTTATTCTTAAAATTTCTACTTTACCTGAAGTTCTCAGTGAGTGTGAGAGTTATTGTCCCATATAACTTGTGAAATTTAGCAGAGCTAACCAGATCCATCCATGACAGAGCTAACCATCCTCTGATTCCATGATATATTTTTCATACCCTAGAAAAAAATCCCCATCATCTCAGATTTTCTGGATAGGTTTGCAGTATTTGGATCCTGATGGTGGGCCTTCCTGGAGTGATGGATCACCGGTGAGTGTTTGACCTTGCCAGTTCCTTTCTATGCTGACTTTTTTTGCTGTTAGAGCTGTTTCTATGACTGGTTGTCATTGAAACATAGGTTGTGTGTTCCCTGTCACTGGGTAACTCTAAATCATTATTCTTCATTCTATTTTTAAAAAGAAAAAGGCCAATAAATCCCGAGGTTATACTATCACAACCGTGGTAACATGGAGTACTAGTTAGCACTAGAGAGACAATAATATAGGTGGCAAATATACAAGAAAGGTGTCATGGGTTGACTGTTCCAACCTTTATGATCCTATGATTTTTATCAGTTGCTGGTGGTACTGCCACGTTCCTTTTCTCTGCTATTGATTTATAACCTCATTTGATTCCAGTTTTCATGGGACTTCTAGAGTCTGTTAAACTTCTAGAGTCTGTGTAAACCAGAGCCTTTCTTTCTCTTCTTGCAGAGTGACTGTATTTCTTCAACAGCCCACATAGTCTGCACAACCATAGGAGTGCTTTCCAGAGGACAACTTTTTTTCCCTATGCGATAAGACTTAAAACCAGAAGTGTCTTTTTTTTGTAGGTGAACTATAACAAAAATACATATACTTACAACGCTGCTTTTGAATATTGTGGAGCAATCTCTGAAGAGGATTCCATGTCATGGATTCAGGTGCACTGTGAATACAGTCATAACTGGATTTGTAAAATAAAGAAAGGTAAAGTTACTTTTTTTACTCTAAACTCACATTAGGAAAGAATTTAAGCTGAATCTCACTCTATTAAAACACGAAAATCTGCACCTTACATGCTGGTAGAAAATTTGGTTGCTTTAATGGTAATTTTGCATGACTTTTTTTTCCGCCAACCATTTGTGTCACGCACTTTTTTAAATGTAATTATACATCCAGCAACACAAACATTATGATGAATTCCTACAGAAAAAGATTCTAAAGGTGTCCTTTGTTTTACATTTTTATAGCTCTTTGTCTGCATTTTTAGAGGAAAAATTGCTCCAATATCCCATCTGTGGTGTTAAAATTTTTAATTTAAATTATTTTCAAAAGATGGTGGATTTTCAGTCAGATGTGACTCTTCACAAAGTAGTTTCACACGAAAAACAAATTAACATTAATAAAATGTAAAACACTTTGAAGCAAAAATTCATTTAGTATTTTAATTTCTTGTTCAGATACAAGAGAGTGTCCATAAAAAATCTCTTATTACTGTGCAAAATATACCAACATTGAAGTAAAATATTTTTACCATTTAGTTTTCTTTCAGAAACAAGTATTCAGTCTAACTTCAGTCAACTAACTTAGGCAACATTCAGGATGTACAAGATGTGCTTACCAGAAATGTACCAAGACAGAGATGCATCTATTATTCTCTGGTCATCCATTTTTCCTCTGCACCAAAGATGCTGTATGACTATATCGTGCATTGAATACGTAAAATATGAAAAATTAATAGTAAGATAGTTTTGACTAATTAAATGCTTATACTGCCTTGACATTTGGGAAGCATTTATATCTTCATTTTTTTCCCATTTCATTACAGGAACACCCTTGAAACCAGAACCTCTGGGCCCTTCTGCCAGTAAGCTTCTGGGTTTTTTCTCTTATTGGAAGGGTGGTATCATGTAACGTCAGCAGCTTTGTGTAAGAACTGTGAAGAGATTCCTGTTCTGTGTTGCAGCATACGAAGTCACAGAAGATGGCTGGATTATAAAGGGAGACAGACAGTATTTTTTCAGCACAGAAACGACTTCTATGGAGAAAGCCAGAATTTTCTGCAAAAGCAACCATGGAGATCTTGCTACTATTGGAAATAATAGTGAAAGAAAATTTTTATGGAGATATGTAAGAGAAAATTTACCCATATTATGCAATATATGGCCTATCACAGAATCACAGAATTGTTGAGGCTGGAAAAGACCTCTGAGATCATCAAGTCCAGCCTATAATTCAACATCACCACATCAGCTGGACCACAGCACTAAGTGCCACATCCAGCCTCTCCTTAAACACCTCCAGGGACGGTGACTCCACCACTTCCCTGGGCAGTGCATCCCAGTGCCTGAGCACCCTCTCCGTGAGGAAGTGCTTCCTGAGATCCAACCCAAACCTCCCTATATGCCATATAACTGCTGCATATGCTTGTGAAGTCAGGAGACTGTGCTTGTTGCATAATATTGCTACATTTTATTAGCAGTAGCTTTAAATGTTCAATGAAAAATATTTATTCTATAGAATAGAGCTTCTCTTTAGGAAAACAAATACCACTTACTAGGGTGGGTATATTCCTGTATATTCTAATCCAGATAGAGTTCCACCCATGACCAAACATATACACAGTGCATTGAATAGGCAGATTACACATATACTGAGAAAGTTGTCCTTTTGACAGGGTGGTTACCTCTCATTTGAATATCACTCTCAACACAACATTACATGTAGATGCAAGGCTGCTGCTGGTGTAGCTCTGATGGTCACATACTGCATCATGCTGCTGAACAAAACAACTTTTCAGAGAAAGGTTTAACCTGTTCCAGGTCAGGCACTGACCAACTAGGGCCTTCATGAAATAGTTTTCCTGCAATAAGTATCAATTTTTTTTTACATATTTAAAGGGCACTGCCTACCTATTATGGAAGATGGTTCTGATGGGCACATGCAAAAGCCATGGCAGGGGCATGTTGACAATTTAATAGCATGGATGTTGCATCAAACCTCTGCAATAATCCCATAAATGCTACTAATACCAAAGCAGCCACACAACCTCCCTTCGGTTTCGCACTATTAGATACTTGCTTTTATTATGTAGGAAAGGATATGAGAGGCAGAGAGAACAGATGGCCTGAGCCACATGAACTTCCTGGCTGCTTAAGAACAGGAAAGTACCAAAAAAATTTATATTGAATATTTTCTAAAGCTTTCCCTTTATATATTTTTTTTTAAATTGAGAACACAACTGTGAAAGCTTCAATCATACCAGTAATGCAGCCAAAACTGGGCAAGAATCAATAAAGATAATAAAGCAAAATTATGTGTTGTATGATATATATACTTCAACTAGGGTCCTCTCTGGTGACTACATTTGATCGTTTATACAGTGTGTATTCATCTATTTGCTTCCATAGCATTAAAATTACGCTTTTTCATATTAGATAACTACTAGAAAGCACTAACTAAAACTGTCCTTTTGTGTTTAGATCTTAAAAAATGGCAAACTGAAGTCATACCTCATAGGATTAACTCAGAATGCGGATCAACAGTTCAAGTAGGTAAACAAGCTCCATGAGGATTCATAAAAAGTGGTTGTAGAAGTTTTGTACTGCCAGGTTTCCTTCTGGAGGGACCACTGCAAGGAACTGAAATTCAGAGAGTTATATTACAGGAGGCTGGTTAGCTCAGTGGTTTGAGCGCAGTGCTGATAACAAGGACCAACACCGAGGTAGTAAGTTCAATTCCCACTCGGTCTGGTCTAGTTGAGAGGTGGCGTCCCTGCCCAAAAACCAGGGAGGTTGGACTTGATGATCTCTAAGGTCCTTTCCAGCCTATGCCATTCTATGTCGAAATGTGTATTCTTTCTTGGTTTAACTATATTGTAAAGACACTATTTTAAATGTCATTTTTATATGGAATATGCATGCTATGAATGTATAGATAAGTTTTAAAAATAAAGGTGCTTTTGTTTTTAACTTGACATGCAGGGATTTCATTGTCTAAGGTCTTTAAATCCTAATGGAAACTCAATTTACAGATAAGTTCTGCTGTATATTTTTAAAAACATTTTTAGCATGTTAAGGTAGATTGTCTGAGCATCTGCTACTCTTTTGTTGTGTTTTTTTTTCAGTTGGATGAATGGAAGGCCGGTGCACTATGCAGCTTGGGCACAGGGTGAGCCCAACTTTGCAGCTGCTCAAGAAAATTGTGTGGTCTTAAATAAAGAGGATGGTAAGTTGCACAACTTTTTTTTTTTTTAAATATTTTTATGGATACTGCTCTTCTTTTTATTGAAAATATCTGGCCAGCTTTAATCCATTATTTATCAGCAATTTGGGAAAATATGCATAATAAAGTATAGTCATTATATCTGAGGTTTCTTCGGGGGCATTATTAGCCACAGAAATGGAATTTAAGAAATTGTTTTTAATGGGGAATGCAGGAACAATTTGATCACTGATTTTTCAGCTGCACGAACAACATGTTCTATTCAAATCATCAGCAAATTTGTCTTTAAAAAATAATTAGAGAATAGCTTGAGAAGGAATAGAACAGAGTTTCACATTTTACAGTGTTTTCTCTGATGAAGTGTTACTTTACACTTGAGTGTTTCAGTGCTGTTCAGGTGTGTTCTACTGAGAGGTCTTGGAGCTGCCACCTCATGTGGTCACCACTCCCACAGTCACAGCAGGACCAAAGTCTTCCTGTAAGCAGCGATCACGGGAGGCAGAGCTGAGCTAAAGCATGTTATCTCACATTGATTTTGAACCTACAAGCACAGAGCCAGTTCACTTTCCCACAAACTTCAGTCTTATTCAATGTCTTATAATCTATATTTAAATTGATTTCAGGCTTGTGGAATGATGTCAACTGTGGTTTTTCGAATGGCTATATCTGTGAGAGACAAAGAAGTCTTAAAAATGCAACACTTCCTTCAGCAGTACCTTCACCTCCTGGAGGATGTCCTGAAGATTGGCTTTTATTCAAAAATAAGGTACAATAACATCCATCTAAGCACAATATTAGTCCTTGGGAAAGTACTTAAAGACATATAAGAGATCCTTTTTCTCTTATATATCTTTTGACAGTGATTATCCAAAGTTGCCTTAAAAATCGAACCAGTTGCCTAATTCTTGCAAAATGGTGTTTAGTTGGTTCTTTTTCTGAGAAGTGGTCAGCTGAAATACACTGGAAAAAACTGCTACACTGTATACACTTTCAAAAGAATTTGAACTGAATTCAACTGAAAACATCAACTATAGCATATAATCAGAGATTTGAGCTGGAACAAATCAGAAATAAGGCCATTTATTTCCAAGCAGGTTTTAACGTAAGGGTTCCATTTTGTAATACATACAATATTGTTATGAAAGCACCCATGGATACTGACACTAGTGAAGCTCAGCCAGTTGAGCATGGTGCTAATAACACCAAGGTTGCGGGTTCAATTCCCGTTGGGTCCCCATGTGTTGCCTGGTCTAGTCGAGAGGTGGCGTCCCTGCCCATGACAAGGAAGTTGGCTTAAAGGATCTCTAAGGTCTCTTCCAGCCTCGGCCATTCTATGAGTACACTTTCTTTTCCATTTTTTTTTTCAGCTGGAACAGTTGTTATTTTCCATAAACTATGCAAGTTGATTCTCTGACAGCGCTACTGACATGCTGCAGAGCAGAGGGTGAGCTGTAAACATGGAGAGGGCACACTACACACACCCATAACTACTGAAAGCATTTCAGGGTAAAGATATATGAATAATATAATGACCACACACTTTTTAAGGAAATCATGAGTCACACGCTTCCATTAATTAAAGAACTGAAAAATGAAAAAAAATGAATACACACATAAGGGCACACTGACCATAGGAGCTAGGTCAAAAATGTTATTCAGAAAGTTCAGGTGATTCCATATGAAACCCTGGGCTGAGCTTTTCTTACGGAGTCAACACTTTTTTGTTCTTTACTAATGGATTATGGCTTCTCAAAACCTCTGAGTTAGTTAACACACTGGATTCTCATCAAACTCCTACTGTGGTTTATAAATGGTTCTTTGAGATTTGTTGTGACTTTCTCAGTCCCTTACAGAAAGTTAGAAGCTAAATTTAAAATATGTGAATTGTTTTGACTCGGTTCCAGAGATGAGTCCCTGTCAACTTCAAAAAATTGTTTTGTGGGTCTGAGTTGGGCTAATTTCTACTTAAACTAGTGTAATTCAAACCCAAGTTACTACTTCTGTCACTCACCAACAGTCTGTACTCATTATTTCCTAGTGTTACAAATTTTTTGGCTCTTCCTATGATTACTGGCATAGTGCAAGAAGAAATTGTATGAGCCTTGGAGGAAACCTGGCAAGCATACCTAATGAACAAGTACAAGGTATAATGCAACAGCACTTCTGGTAATGGCATTTTCTTTGTATTTAGTGGTCATTTCCTGCAAAGAAGAACATGGCAAAAAGAGGCAGTATGTAAACATATGTAATTTATAATATGTATACTCAGCATGGGTTATATGTCCATGGCATGAAACATTGCTGGAAGAACTGGAACCATCTGTCTAGGCTATGCTACTGATGCTAAGGGTTTTCATCCTGTTCCATGCAAACTGCTTTACATTATTTATAGGGTATCAATTAGCATAAAATACCAAATCCAGACCTGGCATTTGTAGTTTTAGACACCCAGAAAGAAAAGGAATCCATGGTCTGTTTCTGCCAGAAATAGAAAAATTTATACTACTATCGCTCTCTGAAATGACTGCCTAAATTTTGCGACCTAATTCAGCAGTAGAATGTCAGAGCAAGGCACATTTTCACCTTGCCTATGTTCCTGGGCTTCCATTTGCAGCTATATAGAGCCACACATTTCTGTCAGTCAACCAGCTTACTCTGAGTGTTGAAAAAAGTGAACTCATTAGTTAACATAGTGGTCAGGCAGGTTTTTTGTATCTTCCTGCTTCCCAGTCTTGCTTCATAGTTCCAAACACATACACTGTCTGAGACTTTTCACAGGCAAAAGTTTGGCATAACCTTGAAATAATAAACTTGGGTAAATTTCTAATCAAATGCTAATTAAGAGGTATTTATAGAATCACAGAATCATAGAATGGCCTAGGCTGGGAGGGACCTTAGAGATCATTTAATCCAACCTCCCTGTCGTGGGCAGGGACGCCTCTCAACTAGATCAGGCAACACATTATAAGATTTAAACAAAACAGTTAAGGATTTGTTTATGAGCTGTTGTCTTGACTGATGGCATGGCATGTTCATCTTCTTTTCTACTGTCTTTTTTTTCCCAGCTTTTCTCACTTACCATTTGAAGGATGCTTCACACGAACCCTGGATTGGATTAAATGATATTCTCAGTGAACTTAACTTTGTTTGGGCTGATGGAAGTGCTGTCTCCTATACAAACTGGGCTCCAGATTCCCCAAAACTTGTAGAACCCGTTTTGTTTGACACTCTACGTCCAGAGGATGGCCACAATCTGCAGCAGGTAAATATCGCTTAGTGCTTAACATCATGATAAATCTGCGGAGCAATGTCACTTCAAGTAAACAGCTCACTTTGCTACAGATCTCGCCTAAGCCTTCTCCCCAAGTTGTTCATCTGTCTTTGCATTGGGATTAGCCATAAGAATTTTCAATGTTTGAGTATTCCAGCTATCTCAGAGCAAAAAATGTCATTTTTGCAATTTCGCCAAAGAATTTGGCAATAGACTAGATTGAATAAAGATTGACTAGACTGAATTAAGTTTTCTTTTTTTGTAGTAGATTGTTGTTCATTTTGCAGACAACATAAGTGCAACATTAGAATTTTAGAAGTTAATACATCTTGGAAATGTTTTCACATTCAACAAGTTAACTCATGTTTGAAAAAGGAGAGGATGCAAGAGGAAGGAGTTTACTTTTTTCCTACTTGCCTATTTATAATTGTAATTGAATTAAGAGCCAATAGATGTCAAGTACTTTCTAAATCAATCAAACTAGCACTGAAATTAAACCTCAGAATGCTGAAGTGAAATAGTGTTATACATATTCAGATCAATATAGACTGGTTTACACACGCAGATTGTCTTTCGTCCATTTATTTCCATATTGTGAGTGTTCCACTCACTGTCCATCATACCTTCATTTTAGTATCCACACCTCTAGAGAACCCAGAAATGATACCTCTAGACAACCAGTTTACTCTGCACCTAAGCCAATTCATCCTGCTCTTGCCCATCTGGCCAGCAGCCAAGGCATGCATGAAGACACATAGGATAGAGCACAATACATAGCTCTACTCTGCTGCAGCTCTAATAATGCTCCTGGAAAATATCAAGCAGGAGAAAAAAAAATGTGCAAAGGTACATTTTACTTTTCTCCTTCACCATCAAGATACTAACAGCTGTCTCCTTCAGAGTATCCATTTCAAGGGAGTG